GGTAATGGAACATTCTAGAAATTTGTAGTAAGTTCCAGACTCATTATGTATGCTGATGTAATGGTCTATTTATAGACAGTGTGGGTATATATAGGGGAGTTGTTCAGCACTGAGATCAGATCGGAGATCTCGTTGAATTGTATTGGAGTTTAAGTATCTAGTTATTGGAGGTTTGGAGTTTTACCGAGTTATTGTACTTGATGTTTGCAGAGTATAATAATACCAGTACCAGTTGAAACCTCATCTGTTGACTCCGTGTTCGTATGTTATCATCGCCGCCAGGGAAGTCTTTTTGTTACTGTTGCCATTTTGGTATTTGAACCATCACACCTGTACTATACCAATTACGGTAATATTACGTTGCGTGTGACATCTATAATTAAATTCGAGAAGCATTCTCAAAATATTGTCAGGAAAGTATTTGTTGACGAGCCTCTCGAACAAACCTCTCTATTATGATGATCAACTAGGCCGGTCACATCTGCCAATAAACTAATCTAGGGCAGTACCCATAGCTTGATTCGTCTTGTCATCAACAATGGGGTGAAAACCATTTTTTTCCCTTCTCGCAACTGACCTAGTTCACCTCTGTTTCTGCTGAAAAAATAAGTATCAAGCAAGTTTACAAGCCCTGTAACCATGAACGTTTTTTTGGCACACATACACTGAGGAAGTTATTGGAATGTTTACGCACAGTCCCTCCCCTCTCGTGCACAACTCAGCTCATGCCATCCGCACTGCACTCGCTTGGGTCGGGTCGGACCACTTCATAAGCACCGATGAAAAAATGTTTTATGGCAATAAATTTTGTTTTTATGTGTTAGCTCATAGAAATATAATTTAAGGCTGTAAATTATCTATAATTAAATGTCATTTTAATAAAATTCACACATGGAAATAACAAATGCTGATGACTCCAATTTGTTTCATTCTTTTGCACCAGGGACATTTATTGATTTGCGTATTATTAACAAACATTTAAACAGTGTTGTACACTGGTGTGATGCAAATAAGTTGACTATCAATTGTTCAAAAACAAAATATATGATCATCAGTGGTAGGCGTATGTGTGTGTGACAGTAAGAGGTGCCCTGTCCATAAAAAACAACGAAGTATATGAGACTGAATCAGCAACTTTCGTAGGGGTGGAAATTGATAAATATCTGACCTGGGATAATCACATTTCAAAGATCAATAAAACTATTAGGAAAAAGACGGGTATTCTTTTAAAATTAAGA